CAGAGAAGATGATGTTGTGTCAGGGGAATAGCACCTCATTTGCTTAGCAAAACACAGCTAATGACCACAGATGATTGCAGTTTACAGAGAAGACTCCTTACTGAACCAACTATCAAAGTCAAAGTGCCTCTCAGGACTACATCTTCCAGAGAAGACAAGATAACATGTGTACCTGGAGTGTTTAATTCATGTTAAGGCTTGGTGTGATCTTGAAGAGGGATTGCCTTTCAAGACTACATAACCATCAAGAGGGAAGTGTGTCAGGGACAGCAGCCTTGGCATGGAAGAGAGGCAGGGCCACAGGGAGACCTCCCAATAAACGATACTCCACAGCCAAGGTGGAGAGGAACGATTTGCACCTCTTCTTCCCCAGCCCACTCCCTGGCAAGCACTCCAGTACTCACCTGTGCTGCTGTAAAAGGCGAGCTTTGTGGTGGTGTGAAACTCCTGGATCAGGAACTGGGAGAGCGATATCCTCTCATCTGTTTTTAGGGAATCGTTCCCATTCTTCCAGTAGAGCATGAGGTCGTCTTCAGTGTAGGCATCTAGGGGAGGAGAGCAAACCTCAGTGCAGTGCACTGAGCCAGCTTCTATTGCATCCACAGCCCAGGGCGTGCCCACACACCTTCCAGGCTACCTGTGAGGTCCTAGCTGAAAAGGCCAAATTTCATCGCCCAGCTGAGAGCTGCAGGGATAGTGGGTATGACTGTGGCAAGGACTGGACTAGCTCATTGTCACAGCCCTCAGGCCTGGTGTGTTCTGTAAACCCTTCTGTTTGTCTAAACATAATTTCACACACATAATATGCACGTCAGGTAACCCACCACACAGGAACTTGAAAAACTTTCCCTTATAATCATCCTAAAATCAGAAATAAAGGAAAGGAGACTTACAGGAAAGAAACTACTCGGGGTAAAGTGGTGTCGTGGTTTCAGCTATGACAGAAGGAACAGGCTATTAACAGTCTGTGGCATGTGGGAGGACAAACTCTGGGGTAAACTTTCTGCCTGTGATGCACACATGAATGTTACAGGTCTTCGTTTTTAACACATGTGGAAACGTTAATAGTAATGTTAATCCTTTCAGATGGGGTTTTGTAACAATGTTTCCCAGAGAGGGAGAAAAAAATTGCACATAAATATATTAAAACAGAATTAAGAGTACAATTCCTTATTGCAAGCTTAGAAAGGAGAATAAAAAGGTCCTAAAAAGCTACAAGTTAAAATGCCTCGGTATGAAATCCAGCCAATTCATGTGTGTGTCATACTTGAGACAAAGGAGCTATGTGCGGGTATAAGCTGGGCTTATCTCACATAGGTGTAAAAAATGTAAGAGGAAGGTGACTCATGTTTCTGCCCTGTCATGGTTTCTATACCACGGATGAGCAGATGGTGCACACGAAGGGCACAGGCCCAGTTATTTATGTGTTTGAGGGCACCTGGGCAAGAGGTGCTGCCGGGGACTGCCAACCTGCAGGCAAGCGGCTCAGGGTCCTGTGGGGACAAGGTGGCAGTGGGGCAGCCTGGCTGGCTTTCAGGGACACTGCCAAGAGAGCACTCTCAGCTGGTGTTTAGAAACACTTAATTGATGCAAATATCGTCTACTTCCAGCAAAAAAATATGGGCAGGAGTTTTTCTTAGTGTTGAAGTCTGCTGCCCTTGGTTAGAGCTCCCATGAATGTGGCAGCAGTTTCATTATTGGTATAATTCTTGATATAATTAAACAAGTTTGAGTGCCCATGGAGTGCAGCCCTTGGCTACCCTCCCTGTGCCTCCACTTTACTTACAGCTTTCAATCTCCAGGGAACACGTCTGTGTGTCCAGGGGAAAGCGACTAAAATCCATGTTGCACATTGCCGTTACTGTGACTCTAGGAATAATAAAGATCAGCCCATTAAAAACTTTTCCTCTCATATGACTGAAAAATAGTTAAGCTGTAAGTTTTGGTTTTTATTAAGTAACTATCTGGACAGTAACAGTCCACTGAAAATAAATACCTTCCGTTCAGCTAAAGCCATTCCACTTAAGCTAAAGCTATTTCTTTTTCTCAGCAAACTACTGCTGGAAAAGATGACTGGAAAGCTAGGCCACTAGAAATTACTACTGGATGACAAAAATAACGGAGAAGAAAATGGGAAAGAGCAGCGAGGGCACCTTTTCCTCTTTGACTATCAGCAAACTTCTCTCCACAGAGATTTGTCCTTCCAACAGATGTTTTGTACGATAAAATAATTTACATTTATCAAAGCCATCCTAGTGCCTTGAGGGATGCAGGTAATTTCTCCACACACTGTGAGTTTCCAGCTGCTCAATGAGAAGACGGTGATCACCTCTGGGTATCAGCCACCAGAGGGCACAGGCAGTGCCTCGAGTTAGGGCTGGAGCTGGTAAGCAAGAGAGATCACTGAAATGCTCTGCTCCATCAATCAAAAGCTCGAATCTTGCTGTAGTCTGATTATCTCATTTCTAATAGCATAATTTTGTGTTTGCACTGAAAACATCCATAAATCTTGACTCAACTGGCTTTAACTCTAGGGAAGTAAATGAAAATAGAAGTATAAATCATAATTGGAAAAGAATTAATGAATTATAGCAAGGCTAATGTTAGACAGGTGTCTCACATAATGATAAACACAAGATGCAGTCCCTTATGTTAGCAGTTCTTTTTCATATGCAGGTTCCCCCTGATGTTGCTTTCCTATCTGGATTTAGTCTTTGAGTGAAAGTACTTGGCTCAGATTTGTTGTTTAGATACCAGTGAGGTGTACAACGGTTTCCAAGACAAGAGAAGGCAAAGAATCTTAAAAAAGCAGACAGCAATTAATCTACAGGCGAAGGCATTCAGCAAAGGCAGTCAGTCAGTAACAACCTTTTTGCTCTTAAGGGGAGACCAGCATTCATAGTTTCCCAGCATTCATAAAGCACTCCAACCTGCAGTTGTCACTGAATAAAATAAGGAAACCCTCTTAATTTGCTATTCAAGATGTGCACCACCATTCTGTGCGGGACAGTTGTTTAAGCACAAGACTGTGGGTGGCAGGATCTGAGTAGTTTGATATTGTTCTGTTCTCATCTTCCTTAGACAACCATAAATGCATGCAACACAGATGACTGATATCATGCAGCTAAACAAAAGCGTATATAGGCATGCATGCTACAGCTGAACTTCTGTCATTTTATTGAACTAAGGACCTGAGCAAACTTTGCAAAGGTCTAAGGAACACCTGAACCTTGTCTAATATGCTGAGTGAAGAAAAAGCTTTAATAATCAGAAGATAGACACTGTTCAGGCTGTGAATTCCAATGAACAATAAGATAAAAATATTAGAGAACAAGAAAATTCTTGTCAAACTGATATCCCGCAGGGAATCAAGAATTGCTTTCCTTGCCTTCCTTTCATAAAATCATAAAACATCTCAGCAGGCTGAGAAGTTGATCTCCTCACCTCATGGCAGGCTCAAATGTACCTCTGCCACTCTGAAGGCTGCTGTCTAACATACAATTAAAGACCTTCAGCCTTTCCAAGCAATATGTTATGAAAACTTATCATTAGTTGAAGTTAAATCTATGCCTCTTGCTGCTGTTGACCTCTATCAGTCAGATTTTCCTTCTTTTTTGTCCTTCAGAATACATTATCTATGAGGTGATGCTTTGTTTATTTATCATGTATTTTGCTATTTAATTGCTGTTGAGGTAATGTCAACATTCTTGCATCAGAACATTGTACAGCAATTTCCTCTCTAATAGAATTTTATGGGTCATTTGGCAATACTTGTTCTCTAACTGAATGGAGCTGCAGCCAAGAAAAATAGAAGCACTGATTTTAGATTCTTTTGGAGGTTGACAGATGTTCCCCACTTAGCATCTCCAAGTATGGAAGTGTTACTTACTAGAAAGAAAAAAATCCTAGTTTAATAATGTTCAGACTTAGGCCAGCAATGTTCTTCTCAAAGCTGATCAACGAGTCGGAAGATAAGGGAGAAGGCCAGGGTAGGGATCACCCTTCAAACTAGAGGACAACATAAAGTTTACTCAAAATGTCCCCTTCAAGGAGCTTTCATGCATTTCACATGAAATGTGAGTAAAAAGAAGAAAGAGTCAAAGTCAAGTGTTTGGGTTGCTCTAGCCACACACATGAGTCACCAGGAGCTACATACCTTCGCTCTGAAGCTTTTCCCTTCCTGTGCTGAAGGATGTTCCATCTGTTTTGTAGCTTATCATAAAGCTAAAGTTACAGTCGGTATAATTTGTACTTCATCATAATTACCTCTAAGAACAGAAATTGCACGTTTTGCTAGGCCCAGAGACTTTGTTGTGTAGTGAAGTGGATAATCATAGCTGCTCTGGACTTCTGTTTAAAGCCAGACATTGCCCTCTTCCTTAGATTGTGCCTTGCCTCTTCAGCAGTGATCCATGGGAACCACAGCTCGCTGGTCCCCCGGTGAGCTGCCCCAAGGGGCTGCTGCGTCCTGCACGAGGTGAAGGGACATTGGTGGAACCATCAATGTTGGTAGAGAAATTGGCTTCCTGCGACAGGCACTTAACGAACTCACGCCAGGGCTCAAATGTCGGTGCACACTTGGCACATTCATCCCTTTTTACAGCTTTTTTTTAGTATGAAGTCATGCAAAAACACAATACAGGAATCAATTAAACCACTTTCTCTCTCACTCCACTAATAGCTTGCATTGATGGAATGCAGCTTTACCTGAGGCTATAAAGTACCTTCCCATCTGGCTGGACCCGCAGCATGACGTTGTCTGTAGTGGTGTCATGGATGAAGGAACGCTTGGAGTGGACAAAGAACATGTCAGGGACCCAGATCTTCTTCACCAGCCTGCCATCGAAGGTCATACTTTGGTTGTTGGTGCTAGGGAAGGACAGCCTCTCGTCTTTCCAGTAGTGCCTCAGGTAAAGCGTCATGGTGAAGTCCTGCAACAAACAGGCTTGTGTCACAACTTAACGCCTTATTGACTAGTAGTGACTTCTTGTCTCTGGGACAAATGACGAGCTGTAAAGCACTGTTCCTGAAGGCACATCCACTCCCTGGGCTGCAGGGGACATGACTGCCAGTAGCTTGTTTATTCCTTGGGTCAGACTGACTTACTGAGTTCAGAAATCAGAGCCCATCCAGGTGGCGAATCCACCTCTGAAATGCAGGCATTGTGTTTTGATGCCTGTGAGCCACTCTAGGGACCAAAAGGCAGACGTGCCGAGGTAGTGGGAGGTGGAGAGCGCTGCCAACCACTTAATCCCTCAACCCTAAGCTGGTGCATTTCTGGAACAGATAGTGAAGAAGTGCTTACTAGCCATGCTGCCCTCCATGCTGCTCCAGCAACTACCTTCACCTGGGCAGCCGGAGGAGGGTGCTGCAGTGGGAGCTCTTCCTCTAACGCAGCCACTGAAATGTTTTTGACTCAGTATTTGACCAAAATAGGGTTTTTTTCGTTCTTTGTCCTCACATATCATACTCTTAGGTCCGAGGCATGCGCCTTCACTTTGAGCTCTGCTGTATGTGGAGTCTGACCCTGCAGGCATGCACATTTGGGTTTGCCTTTTTCCTTATTTCAAAGGAACTCCTCACATGTCTGAAGATGAGCTCATACACAAGTGTTTATAAGCATGGTATCTTCCAGTGTAACGTAATATATTGCCCATAAACTAAGGAAAGCGTCTAAGACTGACCAATCTGCCCTGGTGTTTGAGGTAGAGGAAGTCAGGTGGGTTTGAGGTGGTTTCTTGAAATTATTTGACATTTGGATTTTTTATTCCTCACACCTTCCAAGCATTTTGAAATATGGGTATTTCTGCAGTCTTTTTTCAGTAGAAGTGATATGGTAGTTGTAGCCTATGCTATTATTATGCTAGCCACCAATATAATTCTTGGAAATGCTTTATACTGCATCAGCTGAAGGTGCCAAAGCCATTGACTGTGTAATTTCTTCTTTTTAATTTGATCCATTCTATAACGTTCTTTAACATCTTTTCCCTGTATACAAATTTATATATAGTTCTGGGAAACCTTTTACATTGACTCCTGTGTGTTAATGCGTCCTTTAAACAGTAATAAATTGACAGACATTTGTTCTCCGGAGAGAATTCAATGCCTCACTTTTTTTGCATAAAGTTACATTTATGATTGCTGTGGAAAAATCAAGTATTTTCAGCTTTCATTAGAAATTATTTACTGTTTTAGGCTATTAAACTGGGAACCACAAATTTTATAATGCATCATCTGAAAATCCCCCAAGCAACCACTGTATAATTTTTCCCTCTTCTTTTGGTCTCTTTCTCAGAGACACTATTAGCTTCTCTTTATCTTTGCAAACGAATTTCCAATCTTGGGTAACAATCTGTTTTTTCCTTCTTCCCATCTTTCCTCCAGATAAAACAGCTACCTCGCACATCCTGTGAAAGCTCTATTAATTTCAGGGTCAATGGCCTATAATAGATATTTATAAATTTTTAAATCAATTGGACACGAAGAATCTGATTTGTGACATCCTAACAAAATTTTTATAACATCCTCTAATATTTTACCACTTTCTTGCAAATAGAAAGTAGGAGAAAAGGAAAGATTACTGTATCTAACTCCTCAAGCTTAAACTTAGGACAGAGTGAAGATCTCTGTCACTGACATCTCTTCATTTAAAAAGCAAGCAATAAACTTGCAAAGCACCATGGCCTTTTTCTTTAAAGCTGCATGAGTTAAAAAGAATTGATATATTCAATTATATTCTCCATCATTAGTTCACAAACAGACAAAATTGAACCTGAATGTTTATTTTTACCCGAGGCCATATAGTACTTTTTCTATGCTGCTGGGTTTTGCAGCACATTACACAAGGAGCTGGAGCAGTACTCAAAAACCTGGGGAAGTTGTTCAAAAATCATAGTGTTTGCTTAAAAAATGAGTAGGTTTGTTGTTTTGGGTTTTTTAACTTTAAAATCCTAAATGTTAAATTCTTTCCCTTTGCTTTCAAGTCCCAAAGCTATTCAGAGGCTCTCTGGTCACCTTCACAGGCTTTCTCATCAACCATAAGGACTGAAACCATCCTGGGAGAGGCAAAAGCTCGGAGTCCTCATGGCTGGCAGTCTGGGTGCCAAGAGCAGTGGAGACAGGGGGGACAAGTGTGGGGCTCCCCAGGGCTGGGGAGAATGTGCACTCCAGCATTGCGACCGTGCTGTACACTGCAAGTGGTCAGGTCAGTTGACTGCAGATATCCCAGCCCACCCAAAAGCTGAAATAACTGCGGTAAGAGGAGCCTGACATGCAGCTGAGGTGGCTGCCAAACTCCAACTGTGCTGCCATACAGCCACGTTCCTCCTTCAGACATGGGAGGAGGTCGAGCACAGGCTCTTTAACCCTGTGGCTGCTGATTAAGAGCACAGAGAAGTTGGAGCTTTCTGTGAAAGCTTCAGAGCTGTTTGATACACTTGTTGAAAGAGCAAAACATTTTGAAAAGTGTTATAGAATCATAGAATCACAGAATGGTTAGGGTTGGAAGGGACCTTAAAGATTATCTAGTTCCAACCCCCCTGCCATGGGCAGAGAAACCCTCCACTACACCAGGTTGCCCAAAGCCTCATCCAACCTGGCCTTGAACACTTCCAGGGATGGGGCATCCACAACTTCTCTGGGCAACCTGTTCCAGTGCCTCACTACCCTCTGAGTGAAAAATTTCTTTCTTGTATCTAATCGAAATCTCCCCTCTTTCAGTTTAAATCCATTTCCCCTTGTCCTATCACTACATGCCCTTGTAAAAAGTCCCTCTCCAGCTTTCCTGTAGGCCCCCTGTAGGTACTGAAAGGCTGCTGGATGATCACTCCGGAGCCTTCTCTTCTCCAGGCTGAACAGCCCCAAGTCTCTCAGCCTGTCTTCATAGCAGAGGTGCTCCAGCCCTCGGATCATCTTCGTGGCACCTCCTCTGGACTCGCTCCAGCAGCTCCATGTCCTTCTTATGTTGGGGACTCCAGAGCTGAACACAGTATTCTAGGTGGGGTCTCACAAGAGCTGAGTAGAGGGGCAGAATCACTTCCCTTGACCTGCTGGCCACACTTCTTTTGATACAGCCCAGGATACAATTTGCTTTCTGGGCTGCCAGCGCACATTGCCGGCTCATGTTGAGCTTCCCATCCACCAGCACTCCCAAGTCCTTTTCCTCAGGGCTGCTCTCAATCCATTCTCCGCCCAGCCTGTACTTGTGCTTGGGATTGCCCCGACCCACATGCAGGACCTTGCACTTGGCCTTGTTTAACTTCATGAGGTTCTCACAGGCCCCCCTCTCCAGCCTGTCAAGGTCCCTCTGGATGGCATCCCTTCCCTCCAGCATGTCCACAA